AGACTTGTACGTATCTGAACAGAGAATAACAATTGTTGTCTGCAAGGCTCTAATCTCTGCAATTAAGGGCATCGTTCCAGCTCCAGGTCAACGATTTATTCACAATTTCCATTGAAAGAATATTTTCAGTGCCCTCTTTATGTCTTTATTCCTCAGACTGTAGATGAAGGGGTTCAGCATGGGGGTGACCACCGTGTACATCACCGAGGCTGCTGCACTTGAGTGTGAGCTGTGGGCAGCACCAGCACTGAGGTACACTCCTACAACTGTAAAATAAAACAAGGAGACAACAGAAAGGTGAGAGGCACAGGTGGAAAATGCTTTGTACTTTCCCTGAGCTGATGAGATTGCACAAATGGAGGAAATTATCTTAGAGTACGAGTAAAGGATCCCAGTGAGGGGGCCGATGCCCAGCAGCACAGTTGCAAAATAGGTCACCATAGCATTAAGAAAGGTGTCAGAGCAGGCAAGGTGGATCATCTGATAAAGTTCACAGAAAAAGTGGGGTATTTCCACATGTGTACAGAAAGACAGCCGCAATGCCATTAAGGTTTGTAACAAGGAATACGGGACACCTATAATCCAAGATGCCAGAACCAGCATTCCACAGAGCCAGGGATTCATGATGACCGTGTAATGCAGGGGGTGACAGATGGCCACATACCGGTCATAGGCCATCACAGTCAGGAGGAAGTCATCCAATGCTGCAAAGACTAGGAAAAAGTACATCTGGGTGATGCACCCTGCATAGGTGATGACCTTGCTCTGTGTCTGGATGTTCACCAGCATCTTTGGGACAGTGGTGGAGGTGAAACATATCTCAGCAAAGGACAGGTTGGAGAGTAAGAAGTACATGAAGGTGTGCAGGTGGGAGTCTGAGATGGTGGCCAGGATGATGAGCAGGTTTCCACACACAGTGATCAGGTACATCAAGAGGAAAAGCCCAAATATGAGGGGCTGCAATTCTGGTTCCTCTGAAAGTCCCAGAAGAAGAAATTCTGAAATTTCTGTATCATTTTTTGGTTCCATAGTAACTCCCTGAAAAGAGGAAAATACAATGGCTAATTTCACATGAACAAGTATTGCACCGTTGAAATGTTATTATTAATATTTTGCAGTCACAGAGTTATTTTTTATATTTTTATATGGATCTAATCTTAAGTTTTTCATAGTGTTATCTCTGCTTAGGACTTCTTATCTCATTTCTTTGTTCCCATAGATCAGGTATTCACAGGATTTTTAACTTATTTATTTATAAACAAATATAAAATAGTGCATATTTATGGAGTAAAATGTGATGTTACAATAGGATTTTATTTTGTTTTTGTTTTTGTTTTTGTTTTGCAATTGGGCACATGCACTCACTGGATATAGAGACAGAGAGAGAGAGAGAGAGGGAAAGTGAGAAATCATCCTCCCATAAGGAATGGTCATCCCATAGTCCTCTTCTCTCAGGATTTTGAGAGTGCATGTACACGTACCTGGCATTCTTTTAAAGCTGCCAGGTCTGGGACATAAACTGGCAGTCGATTATGTGAAATCTAGTCAGCATAAACAATACGCCATCAGCTGGTCCAATAACTGTACCTTTATATCTATTGAAAAACAACTTTGGGGCCAGCAAGTGGCATGGTGGTTAAAGTACTGGACACCCACAGTCACATGGCTGATTTTGGTTAAATTCCTTGACCAAGTGGCTTTCTCTCTCTCTCTCTCTCTCTCTCTCTATGGAAGAAATGAACTAATTTTTCAAAAAATCCCAAGAGAGGGCTGGCAGGTGATGTGTTGGTTAAGATGCTGGACTTGCACATGGCTTGAAAAAAAAAAAAAAGAAGAAGGAAAACAACTCTGCTTCCTCTTTTCACCAATCTCTGGCAACCACTGCTCTGTAGTCTGCTTCTATGACTGACTACTTCCAGTACCTTAGTTAAATGGAATCACTCAGTATTTTATTTTCAAAGTATTCCATGGATCAAAATAAATAAATTTTGATCTCTTTGAATAGACCTATTTTGACTTCCTTATTGTTATCAGGTGATTAGTATTTAGACAACTGTACTATAAGATCATAATTTGAGGGATCATCAGGTGTCCTAGTGGTTAAGGTGCTGCACTCCAACTTGGCCGACTGTAGTTCAAGTCCCAAACCCAGCAGCTTGAAAATCACAGTGGACATGTATGCATGCATGGCCAAACTATCAAGAGAAAAATGGTGGACAATCTCTTGAGGAGTGATTTCTCTCTCTCTCTTTCTCAGGTGACCACGTGTGCCCATAGCAAAAAAAAAAAAAAAGTATTTTTGTATACTACTGATGGAGAAGAATTTCTTGCATTCACCCAATATGTATTTATATCCACAAATACATACAATAATTCAATGTTATTTTGAATATTTTACTTTAATACTTCAATTTATTGTGAAAAGAAAAAAAAACACAAAAGAATAGAATATACTCAGACCCCAGCACATATAAACAAAGCACTTGCATAATTTGCAATAAAGAAAAAATCTAAGAGACTCAGAAATGTATTGAATATCATTAGTAAGAAAATAGTTGTAAATAAAAACTCTTAAATATTCTCATTATGATCTTTGAATAAACTTTTTTATGTGAATGTTCAGTTTGAAAGAAGAAACATGAAATGTATGTGTCATGAACTACAGTAGCAAGGTATGAATTGCAAAAACCAATTCATCTGGGTCCTTCAAAAAATTACAGAATTATGCACGAAAGTGCTCATTTCAAAAATTCCAAAACCAATCCTCAAGTAATTAATTGCACATCTCATCACAACTCTGATTCTTTTACTATTTCATGAACTGCAAATTTCTGGGCACGTGTTCTAATTTGACTGAAATCATTTTAATTCTCTCATTTCTTCTTCACCTTCATCCCATTGGATGTCTAGTCCCATCAGTAAATACACCACAGTGAAGCTTGCTTTGCCAAGTCTGACAGACACATGGGTTATTAACATATTAAATACATTAATAATTAATAACTTTGTCAGACAAGGAATCAAACACAGTAATCTCTCGGCTCTTGCTAGGCTGGTTTGGCTCTCAGGTGACCTCAGGTAGATGTCCTTGTCATCCATTCTCTCTGAGCCATTCCTACAGTATCTACTGGACTCTCAAACTCACCTGTGTGGGCTTAGAGGGGACAGTCATCTTGTAGAATTGTGAATTTCTCTCCAGTGGTTGATAATGGAGACTGCAGCTCTGTACCCAGACAAGACACCATGAAAGAAGTAAGCATGGAACCCTAGCCCATCAGGAGATTCCAGAAAAATGAACCATGTCTTGTCCAGTCCCAGGCTGTAATCCTTGAGGGACAGTGGCACATAAAATATTTACAGCTCCCAATATATGTTCATTAGGTACATTTCCTCCTTATAACTACAACCTCTTACAGCTGATTTCCCTTGTGGACACTTGTATGGGAAGAAAGGAAAATTTTCTTGTTGATTTGCTGTTCTCAAGAGACCAAGTTGAAAGTGTGATGAATTTATTTTTATTACATATTCTCTGTGAACTCTTCTCCCTCTAAAGGCCATTAGCACCTTTTACAAACCATGAGTTAATATTTAATTGTCATGGTTCAGCACATAGCATGGCAGTTAAGGTGGTGGATCCCACATGAATGAATGCATAGTTCTAGTCTGAGGCCCAGTGGCTTGATAAATCACACTATAAAACAAGGGCAGAAAACACTGAGGAAACTCTGGGAGACATTGCAGTAGGCAAAGACTTCTTAAACAAGAACCCCAAAGCAATAACCCCAAAAATGGACAGATGGGATTACATCAGATTAAGAAGTCTGTGTACAGGAAAGGACACAGTAATTAGTTGAATCGACAGCCCTCAGAATGGGAGAAAAATTTTGTTAACTATGTCTCAGATAAGGGACTGAAAACCAGAATACACAGATAACTAAAGTGGCTTACCGGGAAAAAAAAAAATGATTAACCCAATTAAAAGATGGGAAAATGAGCAGGATAAATGACCCTCTAAGGAAGACATCGAATAGCCAAAAAGCATATGAAAAAACACTCCGCATCCCTCATCATAAGGAAGATGCAGATCAAAACCACAATGAGATACCACCTAACCCCTGTCAGAATGGTGAAGATTTAAAACTTTTTTAAAAAATGATAAGCACTGGCAAGGATTTGGTGAACCTCACTCAACTACTTGGCAATCCATTGGTCTAACCGTTGTGCCATATGCTGGTCTCAACAATACATTAACAGTTGCATGTAAGTGGCAAAAATATGTAATAATAATTAAATTTAATTTAAATAATTAATAAATAATTTTTAAATAGTTGCATGTCATCCTATGAAATCACAAAAATTTTAAAGAATTTCTGATACAGGCTAAGAACTTTGGGAAAGTAGAAAAATGTGTCTAACCGTTGTGCCATATGCTGGTCTCAACAATACATTAACAGTTGCATGTAAGTGGCAAAAATATGTAATAATAATTAAATTTAATTTAAATAATTAATAAATAATTTTTAAATAGTTGCATGTCATCCTATGAAATCACAAAAATTTTAAAGAATTTCTGATACAGGCTAAGAACTTTGGGAAAGTAGAAAAATGTCAAGGAAAAAATTGGCTGGATATTAGAGCATAGAATGCTAGATACAGTGTTACTTAAATTGTGTAGACAAGTACTTTTATTTTAGAGAGATATTTGATCTAGGGCACATGTGCTCACCATAGAGACAGAAAGTGAGAAATCACCACCCAGGGGGAGGGATACACCACAAACCTCTTCTCCTCCTTTCTCTCTCGGGATGTTAAGCAAGCACACATAAAGATCCAGTGTGAGTTTTAAGCCATCAAGTCCAGGACTCGAACCATGGTTGACTATGTGAAAGTCCAGCAATGTAAGCATTTCCCCATCTGCTGGTCCCAACAAGTACTTCAACAATCTGTTCAGAGAATCACAATTTTTGGCTCCAAGGCTTTCAACCCAGCAATCATGGGCACTACTTCAGCTCCAGACCAGTTGACCCTTTCATGTTTTTTCCCCAAAAGATTACTTTTAGAGCCTTCTTTATGTTCTTATTCAACAGACTGTAGATGAAGGGGTTCAGCATGGGGGTGACCACAGTGTACATCACCGAGGCGACTGCACTTGACTGTGAGCTGTGGGTAACCTCAGCACTTAGATACACTCCCAGGCTTGTACAGTAAAATAAGGAGACAACTGAGAGGTGAGAGGCACAGGTGGAAAATGCCTTGTACTTCCCCTGAGCTAATGAGATTGCACGTATAGAAGAAATGATCTTAGAGTAAGAATAAATGATCCCAGCCTGTGGACCACCACCCAGCAGCACAGCTGCAAAATAGATCACCATGTCATTAAGAAAGGTGTCAGAGCAGGCAAGGTGGACAATCTGATTAAGTTCACAGAAAAAGTGAGGGATTTCCACATGTGCACAGAAGGACAGCTGTAACACCATTAAACTGTGTAACAAGCAAAATGGGACACACATGATCCAGGATGCCAGAACCAACTTTCCACAGAGCCAGGGGTTCATGATGACCATGTAGTGCAAAGGGTGACAGATGGCCACATACCGGTCAAAGGCCATCACAGTCAGGAGACAGTCATCCAATGCTCCAAAGACTAGGAAAAAATACATCTGGGTGATGCAGCCTGCATAGGTGATGACCTTGCTCTGTGTCTGGATGTTCACCAGCATCTTTGGGACGGTGGTGGAGGTGAAACAGATGTCCACAAAGGACAGGTTGGAGAGGAAGAAGTACATGGGGGTGTGCAGGTGGGAGTCTGAGATGGTGGCCAGGATGATGAGCAGGTTTCCACACACAGTGATCAGGTACATGGAGAGGAAAAGCACAAATATGAGCGCCTGTAATTGTGGTTCCTCTGAGAATCCCAGAAGAAGGAATTCTGAGATTTGTGTGTCATTTCCTGTTTTCATGGTGACTATCTGAAAAGAGGAAGATAAGACAGCTAATTTCATATGAACAGATATTTCTCACATAGTTGAAATACCATAGTTAGTATTTTTCAGTCACAAAATTATTTTCTATATTTTTGTATGGACCCCTTTAAGCTTTCACAGTGCCATCTCTGCTTAGGACTTACTATCTGACTACTTTGTTCCCACAAATCAAGTATTCTACAGGATTAGCTTCCTTATTTATTCACAAAAAAACATTGTACACAGGGACCAGCAGTTAGCGTAATGGCTATGTCGCTAGACTCCCACCTAGTTGACCGCGGTTCAAGTCCTAGACCCAGTGGCTTAAACTCATACCAGGCGCATGTGTGTGTGTGCCCAAGATCCTGAGAAGAGAATGGAGGAGAAGGGATTGTGGTGTGGCCATCCCCCCAGGAGGTGATTTCTCGCTTTCTGTCTCTCTGTCTCTCTCTCTGTCTTTCTGGCGAGTGCACATGCCCTGTAGCAAGAAAAAAAAAAAACTCTCAAAAAAATTGTAAACATTTATGGAATGTAAAGTGATTTTTCAATTGGTTTCTTATTTTTTATTTTTGTCACAGGGCACATGCATTGACCAGACCGAGAGAAAAAGAGAGGGCAATCACCTACCAGGGAGAATGACCGTGCCACAGTCCCCTCTTCTTTCACAATGTTGGGCATTCATGGATACATATATCCCTGGCATGTTTTCCAAGCCACCATGTCTTGGACTTGACTTGTGTAGTCTGCCATGTTGGATTCAGTGGCCTTAACCAACATGCCTTCAGCTTTCCCAGTAACTGTACATTTATGTACGTAATAACTCTTTTTCTACCTTTCCCCAGTCCTCTAACAATGACCATTCTGTGATCTGCTTCTTTGACTTTGGCTACTTCAGATATCTTAGTTACCAGAGTCACACAGTCTTTTATTTCAAAGGTCTTCCATGGATCACCATAGATCTCTCCAAAATTTCATCTGTTGGTAAGTACTCAAATATCTGTATTATAAGAGTCACAATTTGTGGGGCCAGCAGGTGTCATACTGGCACAGTCACGATTTGGAACTTAAGAGCTCAGTTAAGCATGTTCTAAAGCCTGCTAATGTTCTACAAAGCACAAACACACACACACACCAAATGCACCAAACTATGACCTCATGGACTCCTCAGCCATGTTTATTAGGAAAAGAATGCATAGGAGAACATTCCTCAATACCAAATCATCTTTTCCCTAAAAAGTGTAGAAATGGTACCCAAATTCCAATTGCTAAGCTTTCCATAGACAAGAAACACAGACATTCATTTTAATATATCTGTTTCATAATATGTTTTTAAAGAGACAAAAATATCTGCTCATGAAATAGAAAGGGATCAGCAGATGGCAGAGCAGTTACATCACTGTACTCTCATATGAATGACCATGGTTTGAGTCTTGAACCCAGTGGCTTGAAACTCACAAGGGTGCTTGTGCATGTGTGCCCAAGATCCAGGAAGGAGAATGGAGAAGAAGGGATTGATGCATGATCATTCACCCTCAGGAGTGATTTCTCACTCTGTCTCTATCACTCTCTCTTTCTGGCAAGCACAAACATCCTAACACAAAAACATCTAAGAAGAAAATAAATAAATAAATAAAAATGACAAATTAAGAGTCAGTCAGTAGCATGGCTCAGTCTCTAGAATTCCACATGGCCAACCATGGGTTCTAGTCCAGGACCTGGCAGCTTGGAAATCACCCTGGTACATGTGTTTCCATGCCAAAAATCCCAACAGTGGGGTGGGGGGTGATTTCTCACTCTCTCTCTCTCTCAGCAGCTCTCTAGCAAGCACACATATCTTATGATAAACACCACCCCCCCAATAAAAAATAGAAGAGCAAGGGAAAATGATAATAAGCTCAGATGGACCTGAGAGATTGTGTTGAAGAGAAAACCCCATTGGTCTTGAAGCTGCCAAGCCCAGTTACATCCCTATATGCCCAACATAAGAAATAAACTAGCTAAAATCAACATTTCTGATACAGAATAGAGTGATGTGCTGACAGTGCCTGGACACCTTACAGACTGATATCCCCAAGAGAACAATGACTAAAACCAATTAACCCACAATTCACAAAAGGAAATATCCCAAGTATGACAAAAGTAGAGGATCTTTAAAGACAGGATAAAGGTCTATAAAATTATGTTTAATTAAGAACTAATGGAATTTCAGTCAGAAAAGCACTTGCATATCAGTGCTTATATTGACATTATTCACAATTGTGAAGAAATGGAACCAATCCAGATGTCCATGAACTGGACTGAAAAAATGTGGCAAGTATACTCTATAGAATATTGTTCAGTCATAAAATAAAAAAACAAAACTTTGGAATTTGATAGAAAGTGGTCAAATATGGAAGATTTATTGCTGAGTGAAGTAAGCGAAGCAATGAAGTATAGACAATTTATGTCTCCACATAATATATACCAACTGTCTGCACTCTATGGTAGAGATTGAAAGACTGGAGGACATAAAACCAGTAAAAATAGTTACAGATGCTGGAAATAGTGTGGGAAAAGGGTGGGAGAAAGGGAAGAGAGTGGGAAAGAAATAAGGGATAAAAAAAGAAGAGGCGAGGCATTTGTGGGACACAGAAATGGTTTATTACCTGTTGATGATAACATGAATAGTATTCTCAACTGGACTGACCTGAGATGTATTTCAAGGTGGGTAAATTCTCTTTACAAGCCAAATGACATATAGTGATCAAATGTTTCAAAAACAGGAAAAAAAGGAAAAAATAAGTAAATAAAAATTTTTAAAAGAAAAAGAAAAAAAATAATAAAATTAAACTTAAAAACTTAAGCACTTCTTATCTCTACACTTCTCAGTCCTGCCCACACTGATCTCCCAAACACTGAACTTCACTTTAAGCTTCACCAGACTCCAGAGCTTCAATACTCACTTTTACATATTGTGCTTCCCTCTGCTTGGAGTCTCTGTCACTGGTATATTTGGAATTTTTTATTACCTCTTCTTCTTGAGAACATCTACTCTTCCTGAACAACCTCCATCATCTTCTTATTTTTTAAATATATTTAATTTCATTTTAATTTCTTTTATACATTCGATCCCTATAAATCAGCTAGCTTGTAATGTCATCTTCTTCTTAAATTTCTTAAAAATATTCTCAAAGGAAAAGAACACTTCCTATATGTACTTATTTAATGTGTGGGACTCACTTTCTTGATTTTATTTAATTCCATGTCATTTTTCCTAGCTAGGCTCACAATGACTTGAGGGTTGCAGCAATGGTATACATATACATCTCTCTTCACCCTCTTTCCAAGAATCAGAGTTTTTTTTAAGAATTATTTAGTCTTATTTATTATTATTATTATTATTATTATTATTTAATTTGGTATAAAGTACATGCACTCAACAAAACGAGAAACTGAGAGAGAGAGAGAGAAGAAGTGAGAAAGCAAGCCACCAGGTCCAGAATTCAAATATTCAAATCATACTTGGCCATGTGGGAGTCCAGTACCTTGTCACCATGCCTTCACGTTGTATCCCATAAATATATAGAGTAATCATCTTTAAAGTAAAACTGAAAAATGAAAATAAAAGAATTAACCATAATAGGCAAAAGATAAAAATAAGGAGAAATAAATGTGAAATAAGATGGAAAAATGTATAAAAGTTTCTTTGTTCCTACTACTCATGCAGATAAATTATTTTAAGTTAATGAAAATTTGGGAGGGGTGGGTATGTTCACAATAGAATTGACTATTAGATTTGATAACACAAAAATCTATTAACTTTTCACATTCAGCCAATATGCATCTATATGTAAAATAATTCAGTGTAAAGCTTTGACTTAAGTAAAATCTTTTTAATATTCCCATTTTGACCTTTGAATAAATTGTTATGTGAATTCGCAATGTGAAAGCAGAAACTGTGAAGTGCATGTCTCATGAACTACTGTCATCAGGTATGAATTGCAAGCAATCTTTCATCTGGAGCCTTAACAATTTCAGAAATATGCACAAATACACCCATTTCAAAACTTCCTTAAGAGAACTAAAAGTCATTGCACATCGCGTCACAACTCTGAATCTATGTTTCCTGCTTCCTGAACTGCACATTTCTTTGGACATGTTCTAACTGAAATCTTTTTATTTCTCCCATTCCTTCTTGACCCTCATCCAGTTGGATGTCTAGTCCCATCACTAAATCGTCCACAGTGATGCCTGTTTTGCTAAGTCTGACAGACACATGGCCTGTTAATAAATTCAATAAATTACTGGGAAAACACTAGGTCAGACAAGGAACCAAACGCATCAGTCTCCCTGCTCTTGCTGGGCTGTTTCAGCTCTCAAGTGGTCTCAGGTAGATGTTCTTGGCATCCTTTCTCTCTGAATGGTTTCTGCAGTACCTACAGCTCTCACTTACCTATGTCCCTCTCAGAGAGATGGTCTTCTTGTGGAAGGGCAAATTTCTCCTCAGATAGGTAATGATAGAGACTGAAGCTCTGTCCCCAGACAAAACACAATGAGAGAATAAATGTGGTCCTTTGGCCAGACTGGAGATTCCAAAAACATCAAGTATGTCTTGTCTAGCCAAAGGCTGTCCTCCTTGAGGGACTATGACAGAGGAAAGGTTTACAGCTCCCTATACCTGCTCATTAGGAATATTTTTTCCTTATAACCACAAACTCTTAGTACTGATTTCCCTTGTGGACACTAGTCTGGAAAGGAAAATTTTCCTGTTGATCTGCTATTCTCAAAAGACCAAGTTGAAAATGTGATGAATCCAGTCTTTATTCCACGTTCTCTGTGAACTCTCCTGGGTCCAAAGGTCATTAGTACCTTTCACCAACTGTGGATTAAAATTTAATCGTCATGGGGACCAGCAGTTGGCATAATGGCTATGTCACTGGACTCCCATGTAGTCAACCACGATTCGAATCCAGGACCCAGTGGCTTAAATTCAAGCTGGGCATGTGTGCATGCGTGCC